GCATGTTTCCCCTTAACCTTCCACCAGGATTGTAAGTGACCTGAGTCCCCCCTAGCCATGCTTCCTGGATAGCCTGCAGAACCATGAGCCAATTAAACCTCTTTTCTTTATAAATTATGCAGACTCAGGCATTTCACTTTTTAGTATTTTTATTTTTTTTCTTTTTCAACTTTTAAGTTGTGAGGTGCATGTGCAGGATGTGAAGGTTTGTTACATAGCAAACAGGTGTCATGGTGGTTTGCTGCACAGATCAACCCATCGCCTAGGAATGAAGCCCAGCATGCATTAGCTGTTCTTCCTGATGCTCCCCCAATCCCCTGACAGGCCCCAGTGTGTGTTGGTCCTTGCCCCTATGTGTCCATGTGTTCTCGCTGTTCAGCTCCCACTTACAAGGGAGAACATGCAGTGTTTGATTTATAGCAGTACAGGAATGGACTAACACAAACCCCTTCAGTGACTATCTGTTTCACTCACCTTAAAAGCCAAATTCCTTACAATTAAGTACGACACCGTGTAGTATCTGGCTCCTAGTTCTCTCACAGCCACGTGTTGTCTAAGGAGCCGGTGTCCACTGGTTGTACTGATCTAACCACACTAGCCCCTACCCTGTCTTTCTTTCTTTTTTTTTTTGTGATGAGGCTTGCTGCATTGCCCAAACTGGTGGAATGCAGTGGTGCGATCTCGGCTCACTGCAACCTTCACCTCCCCATTCAAGTGAGTCTCTTGCTTCAGCCTCTCAAGTAGCTGGGATTACAGGCATGCACCACCACACCTGGCTAATTTTTGTATTTTTTATAGAGACAGGGTTTCACCATTTTGACCAGGCTGGTCTTTAACTTCTGGCCTCAAGTAATCTGCCTGCCTTAGCTCCCAAAATGCTGGATTATAGGCATGAGCCACTGCGCTTGGCCTCTACACTGTGTCTTCAACATGCTATGTGTGCCTCTGCCTCAGGGCGCTTGCACTGGTTCTTCCTTCCACCTAGAATGCTCTTTCCCTAGAGGTTATCCTCATCTCCAACAGGTTTTTATTCATATCTCACCCTCTCAGGGAAGCCATTTGTTACTTCAGTTTTTTTTTTTATTTTTTTTGAGACAGAGTTTTGCTCTTGTTGCCCAGACTGGAGTGCAATGACACGATCTCGGCTCACTGCAACCTCCGCCTTCCGGGTTCAAGCAATTCTCCTGTCTCAGCCACCTGAGTAGCTAGAATTA